TCATATATTAGCACTGATAAAAATATTTCTTAATTATGTAGTTTTACCAATTGTGTCCCCTTATGTACTGTTTTAGATTAATAAAATGATCACTCAAGAATATCCGAAAATGGATGGAGTGCAAGGATGGTTGTTGCACAAGTCATCAGGTGCATAATTTTCCTCTTTGAAAATTTTTTTTTTAGATGCTGGTGAAAGTTGAAAATTGTACAATGTTTTTTCTATCAATCTGTGTATTTAGGTGGTCAAGGTAGGAGGAAACTTGTAGCAATTCCTCCTGATGTAAATGGCTACACAGGAAGACTGATCCGCAACGTTTCCAGTGCAGGAAAGACCCTCTTGTATGTTGTTCCGCTGCAGCAGGACCTTGATCTTACTCCTCTTCCATCAGATGCAGCTGAATTTCAAACCATGCCAAAGGCTTCTTGCCAGGTGTGCAAGGAAAGTATGCCTCTGCATATCCTAGCACTCCATGTCAACAATTGTGTGTCTCAGTCAACAGAAGAGGAAGATGAGGTGAATTTATGTTATATTGTGGAATATTGCCTTATTAATAGTCTATAAATATTTGGGATATTTGTGCACGTAATTATAGAAGGCTTTTTTTGTGTGTGTGACTATTCTGTTTTTGTTAATGTACAATACATTGTAGTAATTACAATTGTACTTCATAGACGGATGTCCAGCTTCTGTCTGTCATGAATTCACCAAGTTTTTGTAGAGAGCCTCTTGACATGAAGCAGGTGATAATGTTGAATCCACATATTTACAAATCATTGTTTCTTTTACGTTTTAACAATATTTTTTTTCTCTAGGACATGAAAGAATGCCCAATCTGTCTTTGCTGCTTTCCAGTGAATGAGATTGCCCAGCATGCAAGCCTGTGTGGTGAAAGGTTCGTTCAAATTTATACATATTAAACACATTTTCCTATGTTTACATTGGATTCCTTTTTAAAATTTTTAAGCCATTACAGTTTTCAGCTCAGTATGTAGTTACAGTAAATACTTACTTGGTCCACATTTTAATGCTTACAGTATATTTGAAACACACAATGTAAACACCGTACCTATTAAGCTCAGGACCCAATTTAAATGCCAGTAAAATCAGTTAAAAGACATCATAAGTTACATCACATATATTTTTGCAATTGTTCATAATTTTTAGACCTGAGGACACTTCCACTCACATGACAGACGTTTATGTCAGTACTGACTCTGAGTGCAGTGTGCCAAGCAACAGAACAGATCCTTTGACTGATTTAGTCAGGTATGATTTATATTCTTTGCCCTTTCAGATTATCTGGTTTTGTTTATAATACATTTGCTTTCATTTTAAGAAACGATAATCATTTTATATATATTCTCAGTGAAGCAGATGTGCTACAGTGGCTTTCAAGTCAGGTGGATACCAGCAAAGAGTTTAGGATTTGCATCACTCGCAATGATCTTGTTCAACGAGGCTTCATTCAGTGGCAACGACAGAAGAAGGCTTCCCCTGTCAACAAACTCCACGTGACTTTTATCGGAGAAGCAGGAATTGATACTGGTGCATTAAGCAAAGAATTTTTGACTGGTATAGCTATGTACATTGTACTTACAGTTCAGATATTGAATATGGCCAAATCAAATTAAGATACAGTATAAGGTTAACCCTTTAAATTATTTTGTCTTTCTGTATCTCTATGTAGAAATGATGCATGGTATTGAGACTCGTCTGTTTGAAGGCAGTGGCAAGAAGGGAAAGAGTCCTGTCTACTCTATCAGTGATTTAGAAAATAGTTTCTACAGGTTTGTCTGTTTTTATACATTTCACAGGATTATGTAGCATATGAAGCATGTTAAATTTTTCTTTGTATCTTGCAGAACTGCAGGAGAAGTGTTTTCAGTGAGCCTTGCACAGGGAGGTCCACCACCATGCTTCCTGAGAAGCTGGTGTTATCAGTTTCTTGCAACAGGAAACTTTGATGTTCTTCAGCTGACCAAAGATGATGTGGATGACACTGAATATAGGTCTCTAATCGAAAAGGTGAGCTGTGTTTGTACAGACTAGTGCAAAAATGCTGATTGTTTGTGTGTGTATACA